AAGGGTTAAAAAAAAAAAGAAGAAGATAACTTTGCAATTCAACATATAATATTTCTGGCTATTTACAGGAAACAAAAGATATGAGAAGATAATTGAATGGAAACATTCACAGGGGATCTTCAGAGTAGGAAAAATCAATCGACTCTCAGGCACACACAGCTTAAAACTATCAGTTCCAAAAAGTAAATATCCTCTATCAGAGAAAGGAACTTAAGAAAATGAAAGCCTGAAAGAAATTCTACTCAAAGGTATTACTTATGGAATAAAGTAGTTGAGTTTTAAGCTTGGTCAGAACAATGGATAGTGATCTGCAGTGGTAATTTGCAGGCAATAATGTTAAAGGATGAAAGGGTATTCACCTGAACCATTAACGGAGCAATAAATCACTTCCGAAGTTGCACTTAGAGTTTTGATATATTAAGACAAAACAGCGACAAGGGAGTTAGGTAAAGTCTTAGCTTTAGCGAATCATTTAAAATGTATAGTATACAAATATTTAATAAAGCACACGTACCTAATCTGACCTAGGGTTTAAAAAAAAAAAAAAAAAAAAAAGCTACTTATATAACTTTATAATACAAAAATTTGTCCAAAGATTTTATTAATATACTTTATATAAAAAAATATTTTTTAAAAGTTTTTAATCTATTATTAATAAATTAATAGCATAATGGTAGTATTTTTAGATTACAATAATAAGGTTTATAGTTTAATATCACTTAAGTATCAAAAATTAAAAATTACTTTTTGATCAGATTTACTGATTATCCTGTAAAAATCATATATAATTATTTGAAACAAGATCAAAAAATTAAATAAATTATATAAAAATAAGATTTTTGGTTTTCTATCAATTAGAGATTGATTTTTATAGTCATACTTTGAAAAAATTACATAAAAAAAGGTTTCTGGTCTAATTTATCATAAATAATTTAAGATCTTTTTATATTGATAGACTTTAAAACTCTTTTATCCTTTTTTTAACTTAGAATATCTCAATCTAATACTTTGTTTAATTAAAAATTAATTAATAAGAACTGATTTAATATCATAAGTAGTGATAAAGAAGATAATATGTTTCTTTTCAATATTTGAACAAATAATATTTGGATATATTGAAAAGTATATATAAAGTTTGTTAAGTATATATATAATTAAATTGATTTAGTATATATTAGAAAATTTAAAGTTCAGACCTATAGGTCTATAGCACAGTGGCAGTGCTCCTAGGTCATAATCACAAGGTCCAGAGTTCAATACCATACAAGAGCCATGTGAGAAAAATAATCAGGTTATATGAGGATGGAACTTCTAATCTCCCTGTTAATCACTGAGCTAAAAAGGATCTACCACAAGAATTGCATGAAGAAAGACCTCTGATCTGATTACACAAATTACACCTGACCTAACCCCTCTGAACTGAACAGGAAACAAATACCAGGACCTCACTTTTAGGACTGTGGTAATCATCTGAACATATCACTAAACCCAAACTATATCAATAAACTCTGGAATTATACTTTTAAAACTGTGGCAATCGTCTAAACATTTCCTACCCCAAACTATATCAACAGAATCTGAAATCTGACTACTCTAACTTGAAATATCCTAATCCAGTGCTTGCTTAAATGAAGGACCTGTTGAACAGGACTTGTCTGTAATGTCACAGGTGGTGACAAAGAAGATAGAAATCATTTTTGAGATTCAAGTGAAAAGTATCAGAGTATCTGGGTGATTAAAATAATCCTTGAGAATTTGACACTGGTGTATAAGTTAGCATAATAGTGTAGTCCTTTATTAACAGAATTAATTAACTATACCAACATTGCTATTGATAACTGTTATCAACTATCTGATCCCTAGTCAGACGTACCCACCTACAGTGAAGTTTTAAGCAGGCCTGCCTAGGACAAGCTGTGATAGATTATCATTAATCTGCATATATATGTATAAGATGATTGATGTAATGCTTAAGATTTAATTATCAATAAACAGTTTGCATCTGATACCGGTTGTGATTTTAAAAAAAAAAAAAAAAATTTAAAAGTTCAATACTAGTTAATTAAAATCTACTATTAATGATTAAATATTTGATCATTTGACTCCTAGTTAAGTCTATTTACTTATTAAGTATAAGTTTATTCAGCTAGATCAGTTGTATTAGGTTATTATTAATTTTTATATATATAGAAATATATAATATGTATGAGATAATTGATATTTAGATTAAAGTATCATACTGAAACAACATGACCTAGTTCCTACTAGGCCACATAAGAACTTGAGATTCATTATAAGTCACCTTTTCATTGCAGGTGAATAAAAAATCACTGCCTAAAGAAGGTTGGGACCAAGTGTGTCCTGGAAGTAAAGGTTCCCACTAGGTGATAAGTCTCCTCAAACGGTACACAAGAAGGAAATCAAGATCAAGAATGGATAAGTTTCTTAAACGGTTAGAAAAAGAAAAGATATCCCAATTAGACATTTCTTATTGAGAAGAGGTCTTGAGAAGCAGGTTTTTGAAGGAAACTGAAAATAATTTTTTTTTATTTTTTACTCTTTCATTTTCTTGTGATCTATTTAGATATTTTTAGATATCCTCCTCCCCTTTTTTTAACCTATCTTTTGTAGTTTCCTATAATCCAGCGACTTGATATGACATACAGCAGTGACAACCTGCTAGCAATGATGCAGTGGACTAGGAGGATCTTTACCCAAAGATACTGTGGAGCGAAATATTGTCCCCGAGGTTGAACTTAGAGGCTTTTATGCTTACAATAAGTTTGTTAGATTAGAAAAATAGTTTAACTGTAGTATGTATCATGCTGCTTGAATGAAAATGTACTTATGTTTTCAATTGATTAATAAACTCACGATCTAGCCTGGCTACGGATATACAAAAAAAAAAAATAATAATAATTGATATTTAGATTATAACTTAATGTTAATAAAAGTTATGTATCTAATAGTTAATTGCAATTTATAAACATAGAAAAAAAAAGTTTTAAATTATAAAAAAAAACCAAGTAATATTTTATTACAAATAATAAAAAGTTATTAAAAAAAAAATAATTGTAAAACTTTTTTATTTTTGCAATAAATATTAATATAAATTTTTTATAATAAAAGAATTTATTTTTTTTTTTATTAATAATATTAGATATCTGAAAACTTTTATTTTCAAGATTTTTAATTTTTATCTATTTTAATTTAATTTAAATTTTTAATATATAGTTTTTATTAAAAATAAATAATTAATTATAATAATATCTTTGATAATATTAATAATAATAGAAAAAAAAATTTATGAAAAAGGTTTTCTTTAATTAAATAAAATTTTTTAAAAAAATTTATAATATCAAAAAGTAAACAAAAGAATTATATAATATATCAATTTCTATTTTTGATTAAATTTTCTCATATAATAAAAAATTTTTTAAAAAAAGTGTAAAATTTTTTGTTTTAATTTTATTTAAATAAGCTTTTGAAAAAAATTTTTTATTTTGATTAAACAAAAAATTTTAAAAAATAAATTTATATATTATCAAAAAAATAAGTTCAATATAATTTTTTGAAAAAACTTATACAAAAATATGTTTTTCAAACAGTTCAAAGTAAAAAAAATATTCTAATCAAATAAATCTCTTTTGAAAAATAATTTTTAGTACATTAAATTAACAATTTATATTTTTTCAAGATAATCTATAATAATAAATTGTTGATAATAATTTAATAAATGAAAATCATTAATATCAATTTATTAGATAATTAAACTAATTTATTAAACTCTTACTTAATATGTACAATAATGAGTTAAATATTATGTAAAATAGTATACTATATGTAATATTGTTTAATGTCTCGATTTTTTATATTATAAAAAAAAAATTATAATATATCACTTTTGATTATTATTTTACAATATTACATCTAAATCTAATGTATAGTACGTGCACAAAAAATCCATCAGCGAAACAAATACTTGAATTTTACTATTTGTGGCATAAAAGTATAATTGAAAAAACTAAAAACAGCACGAAAATATTTATAATTCTAGTTCACGAACCTTTAAAATTAAATTGAAATTATTGCCAGTTTATTTATCTATTTAATACGATCGAAATACAGTAACAATACATTAAGGCAAATAACAAAAAACGCAACTTTTGTAATTTGATATAAATAACAAAAAATGAAAATTTACAATTCATCCTTATGTGACATCATTTGTTCTTTCACCTTGTCAAAACCTTCACCCAACTTATCAGTTGCTGCATCATAGCCACCAGACACTTTATTATAGGCCGCCTCGTAACTTTCTTCCGCATAGTCTTTTACATCCAATAATTTACTCTTTAACACATCCAAAAATGATTTCACCTTATCCTCGGTAAGGTCACGTGCATACCGGACGTTACCTAGTTGCTCTTTGACGGTACCTGACAAAACCGCCACTTGTTGAACTGTAAGTTGATGAGTTGCTGTTAGATCGTTTTCAATCGTTTTTAATACTTGTTCCAATTGTTGATCGCGTTTTTTCCTTGCTTCATTAATTCTGTTTTGTATTGTTGCAATAATTTTATTTAACCGCTCCTCTTGCGCCTCCTTAGTCTCAAGTACTGTCTGTTTCGTTTGACCAGTGGCCGTATTATAATAATACTTGAAAGTGCCGAAAAATCTTTTGACAATATCTTTTACATTTTGAAGTTGTTCAACAGTGACCGTCTTGCCGTCTTGCAATTTTTGCCCAATGTGATCGATCACGCTTTGAATATTTTCTTGGGTAAGAAGACGATAATCATTGACTGTGGAAAACTGACTCTTCAATTCTTCTACGACACTCTCGGCCGTTCCGCCAATGGTATCAGAAAGTTCTTTACGTAATCTCTCAAATCTCCCATTGATTGGTTGACATATATCTTCAACTGACGATTTCAGCTTATCAACTACCATTTTGGTTTGTTCACCCGTGGTAGCGTTAAGTTGAGTCAATTTTTCCTGAACACCTTGTAATATTAAACTTGCTTGAGTTCCAAGACGTTCCCGGGAGAAAGCCTCACTATCTCCTCCAAAATTTCGGATTTCTTCTTTAAACCAATCGATCGTCTCCTGGGTGATTTCGTTATTGCGTAGGTCATTTTGAATTTTGGTGATGGTTTCTTGAATGAGAATATCACGGCGAGCCTTAGCTGACGCGTAAGATTGTTTGATCTGTCCGAGAATCTTCGTTAAATCTTCTGAAGTCTTTGTTCCTTTCAACTTCTCGTTAAGCTGATCAAAAACCAATCCAACTTGTTCTTCGGTAAGTCCCGCATACTGCCTGACATCTTCGAATTGATCCGTCAATTGACCGACATAGTCGGAGATTTTATCATTGGTACCAGAGACAGCTATAATAATTTTAACAAGAAATTAACCTAGCAAGAAAAAATATGTTTTAATTTAATTAATGACAACTTACTATCTTTGATCGCCTCGATGTATTTCGTTACAAATCTTTTTACGGCTTCTTTAGTAGACTTGGCCTGATCTTTAACATCGACCCAATGTGCCTTCACTAATAGGACTAAATCATGCTTTTCCGGAATGCCAGTGTATGACACGCGACGTTCTGCTAACCACTCCTTTAGTTCACGTGAAGACCAAGTGTTCGGGTCGGAAGGATCTAAAAGAAGTCAGCCTAAAAAACTAACATGAAGACGGAAAGTCAGCTAGTAATTAATCCCTTACCATAATTGTCGGTTGCACCAGTCAAGGGAATAAAAGTAATAATAGCCAGCAGTAAAAAAATTAAGATTATTCCTCTTAGTGTATTCATTTTCAATAAGCAAGTCATTCATTACCTGGGATTTCTTTTTATTTTCGATGTATTTATATAACTCCCAAAGTCAATGACGTTTTTTTTGATAACTTTCGATGACATCGTGTTAACCGTTCAAATGATCTCAGTTGACGTAACTTGGTTTGAATAACTGTATTTTCATCATAAAAAATCTCTTCATAATTTCGTCATCGTTACATACAAAGAGAGACCAAAATATTTAATTATCTGATTGTTACGTTTTCAAATTTAACTCGATCCGCTTAGTAATAATACTCAATTTTCCACTTCGATTGCCAGCAATGTGATCTAACCGAAAAGAACCTTTATGAATGCAAACTCGGATTTTATTTTAGATCCTGTGTGAGTCAATTTCTCTAAATTTCGAGTGTTATGTAATGTTTTTGAAAAAAATTTTTTAATAATCAGCTCAATTATGTTTATTAGAGATAATAGAGTAAAATACATTGAAATTATCGAATCTATTAAATTGCTATTAAATTTCTTAAATTTTTTTTTTTTTTTTTTTTTTGACAGGCTCATACCTAATTTTATTGTTTTTTAAATTACATATATACATTGTGCAAAGCATGGATACATGGGTGTATATTCGAGGATGATAAAGATAATGATGAGTTAAAGTTATTTCTAAAGTTACATTGAGGCTTATTGTCTTTTCTTTTGTAAAAGAAAAACCAGCATCCCTAGAGTATGCTGGTATCATGAAAATGAAAATAAAAGAAAAAATAAAAGAAAAGTTGGATAGTCATGTGCCATTTTGAGTGAGTGTTAGTCTTATTTCTTGACACATGCCTGTCTTGTTCTGGATTTCCCTATAGAGAGGTTTGGGGAGAGAAACTTCTACTAAGTCTTTATGAAGATAAGTTAAAGGTCAAAAGGAAGACTTTACAGTTTTAAGGCTTGTAGGGAGGGAGTAATCAGGAAGATCCAGATGGTATATTGATATCCATATAAGTGACTTGAAAGTCTTCCAGTATATCATCAATTAAACTCATTTCTATCTAAATATGAGTATATAGTACTTATTCATCTATGCCTTTTATTTTAGATTTAATTCTTTATAAAAAGGATAACACCTTGTCTTATGATAAATATACTCTGCTGGTGGTTGTTAGTGTTAGTAATCAATGAGGATCTCTCAGATTATCTAGTCAGCTTGTATGTTACTATTAATATTTTCAGACTCAAGTTTTGATTGGTGAAACAACATTAGTTTTCCAGTCTTTTAACTTGAAAATTTTTGAAGATAGGATGAAAACTTCCTAGGTTACTTTGTACATGAGCTTTATTATTGAGTATCCTTGATAACTTCTTACTTTCTCTGGTTTAGATTTTTCTGAACAGTAGAGATTGGAAAACTTACCTAACATATAATCAAGACATAGGTGACTTTGACTTGAAAAAAGGTCAATTGAGTTTCTTATAACCTTTACCATGGTCAGATAGACTCTTTCTTGTATCCAATGATGTATTGGTAGCATGTTCTATATCTATCCACATCAATACATATGACTTATTATGAATTCTAGGTTCTTATGGAGCTGAGGAAATATATTCAGATATATAAAGTGGCCAATAGAAAACTTGTTTATCAATATTTTTCAACATATTTCATATCAACTAATCAGAATCAGTGAGATTTGTACTACTCAAAATTTCAAGGTCAAGCTAAAGTAGGTAAAATTCTTCAAAATACCATAAAAAAGATAGCTCTTAGAGATCACAATGCCAGTCAAAAAATAAAAAATAAGTTCTTTAACTGGGATAGAACCTTTATTATTTCTCTACTATAGCTGAGAGGTAACAAGTACTTTCTTACTATTGATAGTAACAATGGGAATTGAACTTTGCAGGTCACAAGAGTTTAGTTTGTTTAAAGAAGATTATAAATAAGATAAAGGGAAGATAAGGAAGTTCTAAAAAGAACTCTTTAAGTTGATTTAAAGAAAGTAGTAAGACTTTATTAGCATAGAAGTATTAAAACTTTTTGTGAATATCTTTTTTGTGTATAATTAGAGGATCAGAAAAAGAGTTGGTAGTATAAATTTATTAAAATCAAAAATTTATCAAATTGTATTTTGCTATTTCAAATTAAGAAAATCCAATTTTTTTTATTTTTTAATGCTAGCTCAACCTTGTTTTATTTATATTTATGTGATATTATTACATAGAAACTTTCTAAGATATATTATTAGTTTACTATCAAACAAAACTCAATAAAAATAGCCACTCTTAGAAAGTATTTACTTTGCAGCTTGTTATTATCCTTTTGATAGAAATTAACTTACCAAGGTTGGACTAGTACTAAAATAAATTTTGAGGATATAAAAGTTGTCTATTATATTTATTATTCATTGGAACATAAATTTATTGTCACAATTTTTATTAGTGATATACCTATATATTAATATAAGACAACTGCCTTGGTTTAACCACTTACATTACTTTTTGTATATAAATAGACAATATACTGTATATATTAACAAGTACTTATATATATACTTATATTAATAATATATATATATATAAGTAGTTATCTATATAGTATATTTACTAACTATATATAAGCACTATCTCATTGAAAAACTGTGTGATTCCTTCTTAATTTTTTTTAGATCAGTTTTGTTAAGAGTAGTCTAATTATTAGGTTATTGAATTTTCTTTATTTTGAATCTGGGTTTTAATTTTCAAAGTGATTTATAAATTTCTTTTTTCACTAAGGTCTCCTGACTATTAAGTCTATAAATCAAAGCATAAATATATATGTAAAATCTTGAAATCAAATGAGATCTTCAGTCAGTTTTTACTTAGTGACATACAACCAGTTTAGGAATCTATTTTTCTTATTATTAGTAAATAGTAACATGGTCTTATTAAGAATAATTCTACTTAATTTTGAATAGGAATTTGATTACAATCTTTATATAGACTGTTCTGTATTACAGAGATCTTGATTTTTAACAGGTCTCAATAAAAATTATTGCTTGTCTTGATCTATATCAACTATACTCAGAATTATTGTCTAGATATGATTAAGCTAATGAAGAATTTGTCAGATTCTACTTGCTTTTGATTAGAAAAATCACATTAGCCTCCTAAAGAATTTGAACTTGCATCTTGTGATCTGATCTATAGAGTGCAAATTATTGCACTATTAATCTATAGGTCATTAAAGAAATCTAATTTAAAATTATTTTTAAATTAATATTAGAAAAATAAAAATTTTAGAAAATTGTTAATTTTTCTATTACTAATAATTGATTAAGAATCAATATTAAAAAGAAAGTTTAATGTCTATAAATTATCCATCAATGTATTGTGTCTTTTATTTTTAAAAGAAATCGAAAAAAGTTTTTTCTATTATTTTTTTTTCTTTAAATATAAAAAGATTGATTTTATAAATTAATTTTATTGATATTATCTTATCTAAAAATCTATCTAAAAGATTTCTTATTAAAAAATCTAGTGAAATTTGTAATCAAAAAATATCTTAAAATCTATAATAGGATTAACAATTCAATTTCAAAGATAATAATATTAACTTTAAATATAAATTATTTATTTAAGAAGACCAATTCTTTTAAAAATAGATTAAGTCTTTAAGAAATCTTTTATTTTGATAATAAATTTTTAATTAGTACTTTTATTATAAATAAGAATAATAAATATCACTAGTAATTTAAATAATTATACTAAAAAAAGAGTTATATTAAAAGTCTTAATAAAGATCTTTAGTTTATAATTTTTTCATAAACCATAAATTAAAAATAAAAATCTATTAATTGAAAAAAATCTTCTATTTATCTTGTTTTTTTTATAAATTATTTACTTATTTATAAAAGTTGAAGGAATTTATTTGATTATTAAAAGTAAGTAACTTCAATATTAAAAACAATTGAAGCATATTATAACCTTTATTATAATTAAATAAACTTTTTTTATCATAACTATAACTTTCAAAGAATAATAAAAAAAAAAAAAAATTATAATAGACCTAAAATTTTTATAAAACTCAAAAAATATATTTATATTATATATTATATATATTTTTATGTATATTTTTATTAATTAAGAAATAATTAATTTTCATAGTAAAACATGATTGTGACAAATGACAGAAACTATGGATTGTTATAAAAAATAAAAAAGATCAAGTTATCTGGAAAAAGTTAATGAGAGAAAGTATAATGAATAATATAGAAATAGAATATTTCAACTATTCAGTAGCTAAAGAACACCAACAAGTAACAAGTCTAATAAAATGCCTTAGGTGCCTAGAAGATATTAAGAAAAATAATCATTGTATAATAACTGAAAAAAGGGACAAAATACTTATAGTCTCATATATTAACACTAAAAAATCTACCAGAAAAGTTCAAATACTAAAAATTTCAAGAAGCAAGACAACTATAGAAAAAGAAATACTTAAGATGATAACAGAAGATTGAGAACAAATTCAAATAGCCAAAGTAATAAATATAGAAATAGAAAGTTGAGAAGAAAAAATTATTAGAGACAATGTAAAAGAAGGTACATATCAGTTCCACTTGCTAGAAATACTTCAATGAAATCAGAAGTTAAACAAAGTAATAATCTTCTATTTTAATAGATCACTGGTTAATCATGGAAGAGAAGAAATGAAAATGGGAGCAATATGAATTCAAATAGAAGAAATAGGAAAAGAAAGCAAATTTCAGACAGGAATAGAAAACTAGCCATTATAAACAAGGGCAGAATTGATAGCAATAGTTACTATACTACTAACTGTTCCTATTGAAATTAGAGTTAAGATCTATATGGATGGTTAAACCTGTATCTCCAAATAGAAGGAACTGAAGAAAAATGATCCTAGAAAGACATATAAAAGATGGTTGAAAGAGAAAAGCTGGTCTTTATAGATGTAAATGCTCGATCTTGTAGAAAAAAAATACTTGAACCTAAAGTTTATTAAGGTTAAGACCTACTCTGATAATAAA